TCCATCAAGATCATTCAGGTTTCCAATGAAAGCGCTGACAGCGGACGATAGAGTTGCTTACCTTAGACCTCGTCACTTTGGAAATCGAGTAGTATATAAAGAACGCTCTTACTTCATCCTTGTTTTTCTGACCTTATATTTTGCAGTTCTAAGTATAGTAACAACTGCAGATTGCTGGCGACCGGAGTGCTTGGTATATAGGATAGAAAACAAAAGTGTTCTCCTGGTAGTGTGGTTTCCTTTGTCTCGCGACGCTTTGTGATTCTTCTGCACTTACCGCTTCCGTTTATTATACTTGCCTATCGCATAAAGAGAGAAGACCCAGTTTCTCAAAAGACGCGTTGTGTTTAATTTAAGGCTTTGGTAGTGGAATCTCAAATAGCACAAACATGTAGCTTGATCTGTGGAAAGCTTTTGGAAAGAACACTAAGTACTACGCCCAGTGATGAACGTAAGTTAAAGGGCATCTAGAAGCAAGCAAAGTGAAGGCCGTATATATATATATATATATATAGGCTTGTCAGTCCTGGTTGTTGTCGCCGCGTGCTTGTCTCCACAAGGTCCTTTAAGTCCGCACTTTTTTTTTTTCCCGCTAAGGTTCGAGCTCAACCTGGTTGAGATCGTTCACGAAAATCGCGGGTGGGGTGTTCTTCCCTAGTCTCACTCGAGCAGAGTGAGACTAGGGAAGGGCTTCAAGGCTTCGCTCTGCTCATTAATGCGCTAAGGCACGGGCGCAGAAGTTGGCTCGTTATTGGTTGTTCGGGACGGGTGGAAACCAGCCTGTCTGGTTGTTTGTGTTAATGTATTTGGTTGTATTTATATAGATTGTGCACTATGCGTAGCAGCAGTGGTGGTTGAGACTAAAGGGCGACAGCGTTGGATCGTTTCGTGTCGAATGGGAGTGCAGGGGTAATTGCGGCGCTCGGGCATGATGACTATTCATTCTCTGCTGGGTTGAATCACATGGAATTCAAAATGGATGGCTTGTGCAAGTGTCCTGGGCTACTTTATTGATCGCTTTCAATTCCTGGGTGATTACTTTTCAGATCGTGCCTACCAGCACGCTCCGCAGTCCCGAAGGCTGTTGCTTACGAGAGCCATATGCACATGTTTGCAGCAACCATCAGCTTACCAAGTATTTGGGGCTATCTTGTCAGCGTGAAGTCTGACCTCGTCAAGCTTTCATAACGTTCTTTTTCGTCCTGCTCGAACTGCCTGCTTGATACGATATTATCATCTTCAGACGTTTTCACGAGTTGTTCATGCTTCCGCATATCCTGAGTGGCACTGCCGAACCGAATCGATGCCTCCGTTATTGAATAATAGTATCAGTACGGGTACCGACACTGCAACCACTTGTGCTGCTACTACTGCGAGATTTGACGGAAATATATTTCGCTCGGCAGTCTTTTCGTTTGACCTTTACACTTATCGAAATCCACTGTACCGCTTTGCCTGTCTCTTCTAGTGCATTCTGCTGCTCGTATTCTGCATGTTCTTTCTTTGTGCATCCATCGACAAACGAATGAACGATGATGACGCTCTACGCCTCGGTGCCGCGATTGCTTCCACTGGCGACGGATGGTGCTCAATGTTCATTCAGTGAGCCAGCGTGAGAACGCTCATCACTGATGTGAGACGCTCATCGTGAACTGCACGAGCGAACCAACGAGGTCGACAAAGGAAGCCAGCGACGGGTGGCTTGGCAGAGGTAATGCCATCCATCGCATACAGGCATTGCTTCTTTACCACGGCGACCATGCGTCCGGTGTCTGAGCGCCGCCAGCCGACGCCAAAAATACGTAGCAAACAACGTCTGGCGGATGTGCTCGATGGTGCTGCTAGCAGGGCGTAGCATTCGTGTTCGAGGGCGTGTACAAGGCTATTACTGCCACTACTACTACTTCTACGAATGGAAAAGTGTTGGCAAACGCGGTTGAAGTATGAGATTCGGCTTCGTGGATGGCGGTTCTTGAGTAACGATCCCAGGAGCCTTAGTAGCGCGTGGGCGAGGGGAAATTTACAGAAGTTTCCTGGATCAAGGCCAAATAGGGCAAACGAAGGGCAGGGAAAGACCAAGGTTCAAAGTGAACACGGACTGACGCGAATGCAAGCGTCGAGCAAACCGAAACGAAGGCATGCCCTTTATGGCGAAAAGGAGAAACTTTAAAGTGTCAAATATGAAGGATTAGGCTATGGGTAAAGGAAACAGAGATGGATGTTGTCCAAATCGGAGAAGGACTGATTGGCAAAGCAGAGGGCAAGTCGTAGTGTGCGCCCCCTTGAGGACACGGTATGTGTCAAATTCAGACGCTAATGAGGTAGATATTTAAATGAAAGAAGTAGAAAATTTGGCGAAATAAATTGGTTTTAATAATAAGCTGACGACACGTGCTTCTCGTATTTTGAATCATCAGAAAAGAACAAACGACAGTTTCACAGAAACATTTTTGAGTGTGAGAAAGATATGTTGAGAAATTCTATAGAAACTGCTACGTCGGCAAGTTGGTCTAAATATTGGACTATTGATCAGCGCCCTAAATCGATTTCTACTCTGTTTAGGTGCTCGGAGCAACAGAGTTTTCGAAGTGCTCCCGATACAGCAACAACGGTTACATGGAACCCTAACGGATGCGGTTCAGGTTAATCTTGGGAGGTGGCTTAGTTGAATGTGGCTGTGGCGCGGGGTCGCTTCTGGTCAGGTCAGTTGTGGGTTGAGGGGTACGATGTTTCGTGACGGTGTGAACCGGTGATCCATGCTATTTAACTATCTGTGAAAGATTACTTTGTCTACCTGAACTTCTGTCTTGTAGGCAAATTGGAGAGTTCGTGGTATCCTCCACAAATATCTCAACCTAATTATATATGTCCGACCCACATAATCAGTTTAGCTTGTGTGACATATGGCAACTTGATCGCCAACGTAGACGAAACTTTTTTTTTTCATTTTTCTTTTCTGTTACAAAATTTAGGCAAAAATACGGTATCGCATCCGGATGGATACGTTCTAATTTTCCCGCAAAGATGAGACATTTGTCTACTGACGATCCTTCCGAGGCTTGGCAAGAGTCTTCCGCGAGCTGTCTTTATATAATTACGAGAAATGAAGCCATCCTCGGGTCAACGCTCAGTAAATCGCTACTGTCGTTGGCATGTACGCCACATTGAACGTGAGCGAATTGAGCGGACCTTAAATATACGAACCTTACATCTGGTAAATCAAATAGATGATATGTAATCAGATTAAATTTAATATTCAACTAATTCACAACTAAAATAATCCAACATAGCTGCCATAGCCTCATTTTCACAGTTCACCGCTGTACTCATTTATACATTAAACTGTTAGAAGCCAATTCGGCAAACCTTTGAAATTAAGTAACTTTTATGAATTATGCACTACTAGCACAAATATGGCTCCTAAATACTTCAGTCATTTAAACCTGTTTATTTAGAAAGCGGTCGCTTTTACTCTAGGAGAAACGAATTTATAAGAAAACTTTCAGTTGTGGTCAGATCAACGCTTAGTGGTCAAGTTTATCCTCGTAGGCCCTTATACGGTACTAATTCAGGTACTGGTGGGAACTTTAAGCTAGAGAGGTCTTAAGTGAAAGCACAATACGTGAATGGCACACATGGTTCAAGAACGGATATTGGAGTATTGAAGGCCAGTGAAAAGGTAACCAGATGTTGAGATCCAGAATACAAGAACGGATTGCCACAACTGAGGAAACTATTCACGGAAGCAGAGCTTGGAGTTTGGGAGCTATGTCAGCTAAAACTGACATTTTATATGTGCCATTATATAGAGACGAGATATGGTTCAATTTATACCACCAGCTCAAGAGGGATAAGGAAAGAGAATGGCGTCGCCCATGAAAGAAATCGAGTGGGGGGCAATGTCTTGTATGTTCGGACGTAAGGTGATAGCAGTGCTTGCAATGGACATCAGAGGCATCTACTGCTACGAGATATTCGCGGAAAACAATGAATGCAGCCCACTATCTCGAGTTCCTCAAGAGACCCACGAACCGTTAGCATGGCAATCCAAAGCACGCAGTCAGGTTACTTGATGACAACGGCAGATCTCATCGCCATATCTTAATTATTTCCTGAATTGAATAAAGTAATATCCAATCTTGGTTTTAACACACGTACTGTTCTAATTTAGGTCCGTGTGATTACGGGGCTTTTCATGCTTTAAAAGGGGCAACCGTTGGGCAAGCATATCCCACCAATGATTTACTCCAAGAAGCCATAGAGAAGGAAATTACATATGGGAACATGAAGGAACAAGAAGTTGCGAAAATGCTAGGACGAACGTGTAAAAAATGAAGGGACGTACCCCTAATGCGCGTTAAAAAAACCATCATTCTAGCCTAACTGGTTTGAGAGTTACCTAACTGCGTTTCAGAGTTCGCAGGATTTGCTTGTAGCAGCCTAACGTTACGATTCGTCTGCCAATCCAAGTCCGAGCACTCGTGCTAGATCGAGAGGTCATCTACATTCTGTTATTAATACTATAATAAATCGTCGAAAATGTAGTATATTAACGGTATAAGGGCATGGGTGATGAAGCCATACAAAAACATATAAAAATAACCGTGTATGACTTCGGGGTGATGACAGAATGGATCTTACCCTGAACTTCGCAGAACCAGCAGTCAAACAGTTTTTCGTTTGCCTAGTAGAGTAGCCGTGTTGGGTATTTATCTGATTGTCTGTTAAAATCTGTTGTCTTCGTCAGGCGTTTTAAGTAATAACATCAAAGTTCATCTGTAATATATGCGAGTCGGAAAAACAACTATTACAAATTGCGTACAAGAGGCCGCTACTGATCGCCTGTTAGTTTAAAAGCTTGGGCTACACAGCATATATATATATATATATATATATATATATATATATATATATATATATATAGGGAAACATTCATATTAGTTTTTTTCAAGTTTGTCGAGTTTTACGTGCGGTATTCAAGCCTCTAAACCTTGTTTCAGACGATTTGCCCCTTTCCGCGCGAGCCAATATGTCTACGCTTGATTTTCAACTTAGACGACCACGTGTCCCTGAATAAATAGGAGTCTTTCAGGTAAGATATCTTGACTAGTTATTAAGCGTACCTCTCTATGGTCCACAGATAGTGTAAACTGTGCTCATTAGCTTTCTAGCTTTATAACATAATTTTTAATATATTACTTGACTGGCATTCGTTTGTAACCTCGTGGTTATTTGTTTCGCGTTTTAGGTGTGCTTAAGAATCATTCTCTGCCTTCAGCCAGTTTTCCATAATATTTCCGGACGTGGTCACGATTGAAGGCCATTGTATATATGACATTCACTGATGACGATGCACCACAAGATAAAGTCATTTTCCAGATAACATATAATGGCACACACTTGATTGTGTACTAAATAAGTATAATTTTCAGCTGCTTAATTTGGCCTGTTCCCTATGAAAAAATCAATGTCACCTGAATATACTGCAATATGCAACGCTAGCGAAAACACTTCCGTCTCCTTGGTGTTTGCTTGGAAAACATGGTGCCGCTTTCTAGTCGCAGACAGGAAAGCAACACAGAGCAATCAATGGTCCATAATCGATCGCACATCTCGTGATGATTTGCAGGATGGGTGCAGCGGTAGTACAATATCTCTAATAGCCAAGGTGACGGTCCTGCAAGGCTTCTCCTATCGAGAACCACTGTTCTCTAACTGCACACACGAAGACACATTTGAGCATAGTGAGGCCTTAGAAAGCTGAACATCAAATGGCAAACGCCTTTGCCCCCGGCCAGCTGTACTCACCATAGCCAAAGGTATCTCAATCTTCAAACGGTAGACCAGCCAAAAATGGTTCGGTCATCAACGCACAACGACCTCACGCGAATAACAACGACACTCACTCGTATTTCCGCGTTCACGTTCATACGTATAAACGTGGTGCTTGCAAATTTGCTTCTGCTAGCCTCTTACGTCAATGGCCAGTTGCTATTTGTGGCACCATTCGCGCCTTCAGTCTCTTTCGATCATATATATATATTTATATATGTGACTGCCTTTGATGCCGCTGCAATCGTCCATTTTTCCATCTTTGTCCGCGTTTTCCTTCCCCCTGGCCAGGCTCGCTTGCTCTCCTGTTTTGCCCTCACTTTACGTATATTCCTGCTTTCGTTTGTCGTGGCTGCCGTTGTTGTCGTGTGTTTCTTCTCTTTTCTCTATGAACAAACGTTGCTTGTGTTAGTGCCAGTATCGTTATTCGTTGTCAAAGCGAACCCGCCGAGGGCAATGCAGGGCGAAAATCATGGAAGGGACAGTCTCTTTTTTTCTGTGCCGTGTTTATGTGCTCTGTCATTTTTCGTTTCTGGCTTTTGTTCATTTTATTACACTCGAAATGACGCTCTCTTTCTTTCTGTGGTTGTTTTCCGTAACGTTTTCCACTGCTTGGGGACGCTTCACGACTCGCCACTGTGGATGGCGATCTGGGCGACGCGTTGGTTTTCTTGCCTATTTTCGTCGATTTCCTACTCCTTCAAAATTGTGAGATTACAGGAATAGCTTTGGGCCCTACTTCCAACGGAACTCCTCACAGTTTGCTCGCAGTTGCTTAATCGTCATCGCCGTTAGTATATTTTCACAGATTCTCCCATTTGCTTGCTTCTATTTTACAGCAGTAGCTCTTGCTTAGCTGTCCCAGTGTGCACGTCTAGATGTCGACGTGTCTCAATGTGTTTACTAATGTCATACGCCGGCAACGTATCTGTGTGTGCATGGTTTGTTCATGAATGTTAATAATGTCTGTGCTTTTTGTTGTTGCTTTCGTCGACAACGAAAGCAACAAGCTTTCTCCGAAACACAAAGTCACTTCGACTTGAAGTTGTTGTCGTCGCTGTTACCGAGAATAGCGAGCGTCAACCAAGGCTGTTCATTTAGTGGCCCCTCTAAAAAAACACCCAGAGTTGTTGTTAGTCGAAGATCAGCAAGGTAAAAGAAGCTGGGTGCCATCTTTTTGTCCTGATGTACTTAGTTTTTCCCGAGCTAGCTTGCAACAGTTTGTAGTGCCTGTTTCAGCCTACCGCAGAAAGACGGGCGCATGGAGAAGAAGGATATGGTGGCCAGTTAGTAGCGAGTTTGCTATGTGAAGGTAGTACAATCTATTTCGTTGGTTGCTCGTGGCGAGCAAATAACCGAGATGAACGGAAGTAAGGAGCCAACGAGAATACTGCTAAGATAGAAAAAGTGCAAAGTCAAGACCTGCAAAGAAGACCTAACGCGGAAATTATTCGGCACTCGCGCTCCATCCTACAGCTGCTACCGAATTCTTCATACGTATAGTAAGATACTATGCGTTGACAGGGTCATTCGCAAATGTGCGCGACGGCATTTCGTGGACATGCGCAACTTCGTTCGAATCTTCAGAGTTGTAGTTCTGCTATATTGCTTCTTTTTATGAGATAATACAAATGCATTCTATGGTGGATGTTTCTGATTTCGTGAATCGAAAGGGATACAAAGAAATCTTCTTAACAAGATCCATTCTTCATTTTGCGCCTCGTCAAGCGCTGCCTATTCCCAAAGTCTGAGTGAACCAACAAACCGAGATAAAGGGCGAAAGGTATTCGAAAACGGCAGGTGCATAGTATCTAACACTACTCGTGCGGTAATTGTCAAAAGAGTATGAACACCATCTATGATGTAAATAACATGTCGCATTGCCCTCTAGCAACTTTCCACGATATACTAATAAGAGGTTTACGGACTAATTACAGCCGATGTACATTAATCGTACTTAAACATTACAGGTTCCTCTTCCTGTACTCCTGTTGGATTATTATAACTACCTACTATAGTAAAATGTATTGCAGCGGCAACGGATAGTACGTACAACGAGAAAGGAAAGGACATTCACTGATCTTGGAACGGAAACGCTCCGTCACTTTATCATCAGGAACGAGGCACGTCTACAAAGGACGCTCCACCGATTACGTTTTGTGGAGCTAGGCTTTCCTATTATTCCTAGTTGCCTGAAAAATTCTGGCAACGGTTCTGCCAGCTGCAGTCGACGAAAAGCGAGGAATAACGACAGCGTGATGATGAGAAGAGAGTCAGTCGTACCGGGGGAAGGGGATATATCAACTATGTTACATCCGCCGGTCGTGCTCAGACCCCTCTACAAGCGAAAGGGGGGCAGGCGGAAGCTTGAATGACGTGACCATGTGCTGTGGCCATGGCGAAACACCGAGGAGAAGAACAAGACCAGGTTCGTCTGCGCTGCTGTTGCCATGAAGGCCTGGTGACTAACGACGAATCTCAGTAGCAGTAATAGTAGAAGCAGTAAATACGAAAACCCTGAGGTCGCAAAAATACGCGAAGACAGGATGGATTCTACTGCAAGCAAGGACATGGTCCGAAGTGAACGCCCGACCCACATGCTTACCATTGAAAAGTACGTAAGCATTGACTTCAACTCAACTAGCCTCTTCTGCACCAGCATTCGTGTGACAGCAGCGATGTAGGCGGTCGGTGGCATTAAGTTCATTGGCTTGCTATTGCTCTATTCGACGTAAGCCAAACGTTGACGGAAAGGAGCCGTTCTTGTGGCCGGTAAACTGGGCTCCGAGCAGCAGCTTACATATGGCGTCACTGGATGCCTTCCTGCAACCCCTTGTGTATATATATTGTAATCTCAAGAAGCTTGTGTGGGTGTCAAATTTGATGACGGGAATAAAGCGAAGAGCAGAACGCTAGAGAATACAACGAACTACTTCTCTATTACCCGTCCACCAAATCAGTGGCAGGTACGACCCCTGTAAGGCCAGCACGCTGGTTTGCCTGCTGCCGCTTCTGCTCTTTCTTTCAGTTAAACGAAAACGTCATTTGCTGACACCATTTCCGGTGCTGCACCTGATAAACAAACACATCCACGGGTACTGTTACGGCTGGAGCTACGGCGGCAGGCCGGGTAACAGGGGCAGCAACCCGGGTTATGTGAGGAAACTTGCTATTCATTCGATGTCCCCCTGTTCTTGCCTCCTCGGTGCCTCGGTACTATTAGCGGCAGAATACATGGGCGTAAGGGAAAAAGGCAAAGTGGGAGAGGCGAAATGATTTTTTCTTCAGTTTTGCTGGCTCGAGCCAACAGCCCACCGTTATCCGCTGGGTTTTCTTTGCTGCTTATAGCTGCCAGTCGTAGCTCAGACTGGGGTTAAAGCCTTGAGTAGTGTTCCGCTCGGCGACATAGATGTACCTACTTCTAGATCGATGACTGTTTAAGTTTGTAGCTCAGTATGATGTGTAATGAAGAATACGAGGCGAGCAATTTGCTTTTAGCTTACATTTCCCTCTCACCAGTAGTGGCGTTACTTTACGTATTAGTAGAGTAGTTCTGGTAGGATTGCGTTATTTCGAAATAGATTCTAGAACGTGGCATCTTCATTACCGATATAAGTACTCGGTGGCTTTATACGCCTTCTTCGTTTTTGCGCTGACTACGCTTATGGACTGCGGCCACGGCGGATATTCGTCGTCGACGAAATTTCCTGCCTACAAGAAGCAAAAAAGAGTAGTCCTTCAACACGGGAAGTGCTTACGACTGTTTGCTTATCATTAGTGAAAGCACTGTATGTTCAGGGAAAGCTGTGCTAAAAATGTACTAGACGCTTTGACTCCTTAGAAGTCGGACCTGAGTCACTGCTGATTCTACGTTTTGAACTCGGCTATTTTAGCCTAAACCGCTACGCAAATATTCTAAATTCGCAGTCCGTGCTTCAACAAGGCCTCACATGTCTCCCTAACTCGATCGAAAACGACCTTTGCCAGTAAGTTACTTGCTTACAAAGTCAGTTATATCACAAACAGCAATCGTATGAGACTGATGTCTTATTTATTATACGCCTAGCCACCTTTTCTAGGCTAGATCGGTCAAGCTTTTACGTGATCGTGTGGAATTAACAGTACATCCCATGGGGTCCGACATAATCGTAGGAGAGAACAGTGATTTAACTGTTGCTACTATCATTGTATTAGTAGTACTTGTTCAGCCTGAACTATCCCATAGCCAATCTCTGGTACATGGGGCAGGTGGTTTTGCAA